TTTAATATTAAAATATCTCAAACATCTTGTTCATTCTCACTCCACTACCCATCTTGCTGGAGAAGAGAGGAGGAGAAAAATAAAGGGAAATAAGATAGAGAAAAAGAGGGAAGGGATTTAGTAGCCAAGTTTGAGATTTGTGGGTCGGGCTAGTTCAAGAAATTGTAGAGCTCTCGGTAGATTCTTAAATCTTTCTCTGATTTTAATTTCTGTGAGTCATGAATAAAGTCATGTTTTGTTGAGTTTTACAAAGTTTTCACCATGCAACTTTTTATATATTGTTGTTTACTCTGTTTTGCATGTTTTGACTATATGAAAGTGAGTTTTCAACAGTTGTTTTTTCCTACGTGAAATTCTTAGTATATTATCAAACTGAGATTTTTCTAACAAATGTTGTAGTTATATAAAAGGCTTAAAGTATTTATGTTAATATTCCCTAGAAGTTAAAAATTAAAAAGAAAAAAATTCTCTAAATCTCCTATCTTACAAATAACTTGGCTTTTACCTATACTTCATGCATGTTCTGAATATTGCATTGGAAATCTAAATTTAATGATGTTGCATTGCATTTGCATTCAACATTATATTGCATTCGAGATGTTATGTTCTGATGTGGGGGAAAAATGCACTCTCTATCATATTATAAGGGCCCTAAATGTATTTAATGGCCATATTTGCCTGATGTAGATGTTGGAGGGATGTCGGCCTCACTTGTTAGACACATGCAAAACCCCTTAAGTAAATGGAAGCTAAACTCTTAAACGATAAGGTGGATTTTGGTGTAATGTTTGAAATTTCATTAAGAAGTTTCGTAGTTAAGTGTGCTCATCCCGAGAAAATTTTGAGATGGGTGACCTCCTAGGATGTTATATCAACATGAAAATAACTATGAGACTATCACAACACATGCGTGGGAGGTTAAGTAAAATTGCTAGTACATTTCTGGCCCCGTCTGCTTGATGCAAATGTGGGAGGGATATGGATCCATTTGTTATATGCAGGTATGGGAGGTAAAGGAAGGCATAAGGAGAGTGGAGCTATAATGATGCAGCAGGACATGTGCATATAGACATAGCATTGCATTCATGTTCATAATATTAAATAAATTATTTAAAAGTCTATAATCTTTACGGGTTCTGACAATGAAATCTGAAAAGGCAAATGCAAGTGAACTTTTGAGGCTACATATTATGTGAAGCATCTAGATATCTCTGTCCAAGTAACTTGTAAGTGAGTGACAATAATTAGTGTATTTTGGAAGTATTTTATTGGTTTGTTGTTTTTCTATGGTTTAATCTTTCTTTATTATTATAATTTTTAGTATGCTCTTATTTTAATTAAATTTTGAATAGGGATAGTTGAAATGGGATTGCATAAGAAGTCTATTGAGCTGGTTGTGCTCACTTAGTTGTTTTGAAATATTTTAGGTAAAGAAAAACATCCAATAAAGTAGAATTAGTTTAGATGATGACTCTTTGAGCTTAGAATATTAGGTACTATGATTTTTGTAATTTAGTATTTTTTATTTGGTTGACAGACTTTTATGATTTGAACTATTATAAATATGTGTTTTGAAACGATGAAAAATGTTGATATTATTGTGATAATTGAAATGTTAGTAGCTTTGGTTGTTATTAATTGTGGATGAGATAGATTAATCATAAGTTTAAGTAAATATAATCCTTCAATTAGATCCTAGGGCATTATCATTTCTCCCAAATTTTCATAGTGAGTTTTTTGGTGTAGTGTGACTACATAGTTTTTCCCGATTTAAAAAGTTTACATGTTAAATCATGGTGTTATTTCTTCCATTGCATTTTCTCTTTCTTATTTGTGTTTGCTACATGGTTTAATTCCCCAACAATAGTCTCTCTTCATATTTGATATGATTATTATTGATTTCAAAATAAGATTATATCAAATTAGATTCTCCATGATTATATTCCCAGGGAGCCATGGTTGAGCTTACCAGTGGTATTTCAATCAAACATCCAAAGTGTAAGTGTGAATAAAATCTTAGCTCTTAATCACAAACATGTTTAAGTTAGTCAAACTTATATGAGGCTAGCGGGCCACATAAATTGCCTATCTAAACCATAAAAACCACCCATGCCACCAATATCATTATATAAATCCATATAAACTACACAACCCACCAAAGCCATAGATAGGTTGAGCACATAAAACATATTCCAAATAATTCATTAATTTAAGTGAACAACAAGCGCATCAATATTAATTCCAATAAACATAAATCTTGTTGGATATATTATTAGCTCAAGTAAAGTAACCACCACAAATTCTAACATTTGATGATGCAACCTCTCATGCCACATCTGAGCTTGCATAACTGCCATTTGTTGTTTATACAATTGTTGTTGCCATGTGAAGCCATTTGGAAGAGGAAATCGATCCTACTAAAGTTCCCCTTAGTCATCCAGCATGATCTAGACTGTTAATTATGCTCCAATGCGTTACAAGCATCCCAAATTAAACATGGAATTATATATGATGCTTTTGTTTAAGTACATTTTAAATATGACTCATGTGATGGTTGTTCGATAAATTTTAATGGTGGATGTTGACTATTCAACGCAATCTTTCACTTTTTTCATCAAAAACTTGAGACCTGGCAATGACGTTTGGCTAAGTATATTTAAAAACAAATAATAATAATAATAATAATAATAAAGAATCCTTAGAAACTCGATGCCATTATGAGCCAAATATACTTCTTAAAAGTGTTTTAACTATGGGTTAAAATGTAAAATTTTTTAAACAAGTTAAATTAGTTGGACTTAGATTTTATTTGAGACATTTTTACTGTTTTATAAAATTTTAGTATAAATTTTTTTGAATTGTACTAGAAAATATCTTTAGACAACAGTAAGAAAGTTGTCCCAAACAAAACCTTAGTGTTTAGTTCGAAATTTTTCACGAAGTTGAGGACAATGACCATTTCATTTTTGAATTACTCAATTATATCATTGGCCTAAGAATTATTATAATCACCAAAATTTATGTCAAATTGTTGCGATAATTATGGGCTCTCCTATGATGTAATTCAGTCAACTTAATTCATGAGCCAACTTTGGCTCAATTTGATAAAAGACTCATGAATTAAGCTCAATGAATTGATGAGCCAAATTAGAGTTAATCTTGACTCTACTCATTGACGCATCAGTTAATTTATTCAGCTAATATTTATATAAAATACATTATAATTCAATATTTTTAATATGAATTTGTTACAAATATTAAAAAATATATAGCTTCTTTGATTTTTTAATTTCTTATTTTTTATTTTATTGGGATACTTGTTTGAATAAAAATCATCTTTTTTTTATAATAAATGAGCTGATTGTTGAGCCAATTTCAAATTTTAAAATAAAATTCAAACTTGAATTCAATTAATTAATAAATTTCAAGATAAAATAAAAAAAATGGTTGAGATTAACCCATTATTTGAGAGATTATTACATACATATTGATATTGGGTGACGTGAACTTTGCACACATTTGAAATCTACACATAATAAATTTTCCAATTACTAATCTTACTGGAAATAAAAGTTAAGTTACCCAAAAAAATTAAATCTTGAAATTAATCGGAAAACAAAAAATAAACAGAAACAAAATCACTCCAGCTCTCTCCAGCGTCCATTTCCATCGATCCCTTCTTCAAAAATCCGGCTAGCCCAGTCAACCCTGTCCTCCTCTTCTAATTCTGCTCTCAAAAGTCCGCCTTCCGATTTCTTTCCTCTCCGGCGTCGCACTGTCGGCCTCCCCTGCCGATGGCGTCGGAGATCGAGATTGTGGAGGAGGAGGACCGAAGGGATGTCACCCACTCCGGCGTAGGCAGCGCTGGTATAATATAATAAAATTTTTGAATCATATTTTTAAATAAAATATATAATATTTAAACTAATTTATAATTTAATTAAACATTTTATATAAAAATAAAATATTTAAATATATTTTAAGTTGAACCGTCCGGTTCTTAAAAAACGGACCGGTTCAACGGTCGGCCGGTTCAACCGGTGGTTCAAACCGGTTTTGGCCGGTTCGTTGTTAGACCGGTTCTTAGGGAGGACCGAACCGGCCGTAAGACCGGTTCACGGTTGAACCGGTCGAACCGGCCGGTCCGGTCCGGTTTTCAAAACAATGGTTTGTTGAGCCAAATTTAAAGCTTAAAATAAAATTCAAACCCAAATTCATTTAATTAATAAATTTCAAGCTAAAATAAAAATTTGATGGAGATTAGCCTATTTCTTGGGACAATTATTACGTCCTCTGACCGGACGTAGAGCTATGTTCGGCCGCCAATAACATGTCGCCACGTGCTCTTACTCTTTACCGCGCGGCCCGATGACTTGACTCGGACCGGAACCCGGGAATGCTATGTTCGCGATTTTCTCGGTATTGCTTGGTATTTTCTCGGTATTGCTAGGTAATGCTTTGCAAAAATGAGAAATACCGCTATGTGAAGACCAATACCATGCAAATACCGAGTTGTACCGAGTTTTTCTACAACTCGGTACAGCTCGGTATTTGCTCGGGATTTGCTCGGTATTGTTAGGGATTTGCTCGGTTTTGCTAGGTATTTGCTCGGTATTGCTAGAAAAAACTCGGTACAACTCGGTATTTGCTCGGTATTGCTCGGTATTGGTTATTGCCGAGCAAAATCGAGCAATACCGAGCAATACCGAGCAATACCGAGCAATCATGGGTCCGCTCCGGGTCGGGTTGTCGGGGCGCTGTAAATAATGAAAACGCGTGGCGCGATTCTACTGGCGGCCGAACATAGAGTTGCGTATGTTCACCAGACTAAATAAAAGAGATTATTAGGTGCGGACATTGAGTGATCCGAATTGGGCTTCACAATAAATTTTCCATATACTTTACCCTGTTTGACGGTTTGACCATCCAAGGGTAATCTTACCGAGCGATGAAATTTCAAGCTAAAAATTAAATCTTGAAATTAATCGGAAAACAAAAATAAACACAAACAAAATCACTCCAGCTCTCTCGAGCGTCCTCTTTCCATTTCCATCGACCCCTTCTTCAAAAATCCGGCTAGCCCAGTCAACCCTGTCCTCGCTCTTCTAATTCTCCTCTCAAAAGTCCGCCTTTCGATTTCTTTCCTCTCCGGCGTCGCACAGTCGGCCTTCTCTGCCGATGGCGTCGGAGATCGAGATTGTGGAGGAGGAGGACCGAAGGGACGTCACCCACTCCGGCTTAGGCAGCGCTGGCGGCGTCACATCGTCTTCAACGGCGGCTTCTACTGCTACGGAGGAGGAAGCGCTGCGAAATGATGTCTACACGGCGGCAGCCTATGGCGATCTCGAGAAGCTACAGAGGCTAGTGGAGTCCGAGAGCTGCTCCGTCACGGAGCCTGACGGTGGTGGGTATTACGCTCTTCAATGGGCTTCCCTCAATAATCGCACCGCTGCTGCTCAATACATCATCGAGGTCTTTTTCTTCTTGCTTTCTTTTGAACTTGTTTCCTTGGCGGGGTTAGTTGTTGTTACAGCGATCTCTCCATATTATCTATTTTTTAAATTTGCGAGTGAGCGGATTTAGGATTTTTGGTGTCTGGACAGCATGGGGGAGATGTGAATGCAGTGGACCACACGGGGCAGACTGCTCTCCATTGGAGTGCGGTGCGTGGTCACGTTCCGGTTGCCGAGTTGTTGCTCAAGGAAGGCGCCCGAGTTGATGCCGCAGACTACTATGGTTATCAGGTTCATTTTTATATTTTGTTGTATCAGGATTATTTGACTTGCGTATTGCGCTAAATGGAAGCCTTGTTTGATGGTGGTTGTAGAAGGGATGTATGTGAATGAATAATTTTGTGTTGTTGGGGAAGTTTTTCATGGATAAAATAGAAATCTTTCTGATTCGTAATTACCTATGGGAGAAAGCTGTTCCTTAAACACAGCATAAAAAAGGGTGACAATGTTGTATTTAAAAACTAGTTATTTTTAACTGGTTTGCTGATTTTGTTTCATAATGATGCCTGCTTAATTTTAATTTTTCAGTGAAACCATTCTTCATGCAACCATGATTGTTTTAATGTATCTTGGAATTTTCTAGTTTTTCATTTCGTTATCATGCTTGAAGTTAAATTTTGTGTTGAATGTATATGATATGAAATAAGAAGGGTAAAGGGTAATTCGAGGTGCCAATAGATTAAAAAATTGGGAGAAAGAAGATGGAATAGTAGAGTAATAGTGAGAGAGTACCAATTCATTTCATTGATTGGTTCTTAATACTCCTTGTAGGGGAAGATGAGGAGTAAGCACCACAATGACGAAACAAGCAATAAAGTAAAAGCAACTGAAAAGTAAAGGATACCAGAATTTAACGTGGAAAAATTCAAAATAGGGAAAAAAACCACAGAACCACACCGCACCAAAAAAATCCACTATGAAAATTGGTAGAAATAAGTACTTATATCTCTTCTCTCTCACTCTCTCCTTGCTTCTTTTCTCACATGCACCATTCTCAATGTCTACACACTCAAAATACAAGAGAAAGCCATGTAAAATAACCCCAAGGGATGCAACCCTTTAAAAAAAAAGAGAAAGAAAATTGTCAAGTCCGTCTCGCAGCGCTGCGGTGCCATTTTGGGGCGTTACGGTGCTTAAACCTCTGCCTTGATTTGCTTCAGCGCCATATCTTTACCGCTGTGGCCCTCTACTCTCTGTCGTTCAACACTGGGGTGCTTGGGAATACAACGCCGGGGCGCTTGGGTACACATTGTCAGAGCATTGTATGAAAAAAAAATGATCCCAAGCAGGGGGTAAACCCCCGCACCCCCAGCAAACACGACAAGCTTTGAGATTCGAGATAATAGATAACCAGATTAATCAACACAATCGGATTCAACACATAGCACTCCCAAATTGAGAGTATATATAAACTTAAAATGACACACTAGGACACCTTATATATCCATTCGTCACTCACCTAACTGAAACTATCTATTACATTTTTTCGCACTATCATTAACAACTAACAACCGATTACTCATTAAACGTCTCTATTATTTCCCACTCCTTCAAAACTAACCTTGCTCTGAAGTTCTAACCTTGAAGAAAAGATAAATCCAAATTAGAATTCCATGAAGTATCTTTAGGCCTGTAAATTTATAGGAATTGGGTGCACTTTCAGCCAAATCAGCGAACGACACAAGAAAATTGGGAAGAAGAACACCCAAGAACAATTTTTATGGCAGGAACTATGAAAGAAAATGCAAGATACAATTGGATCTTCAATTGGAGAAGAAGATCCAGCTCTCCCAAATCCCTAGCCGGCGGCTAGAGCCCCACAACCTAAGAAATCTAATTTCAGCAAACATACACATAATCTCCAAAATGCAATATTATTAGCCTTAAATAGGCTCTCCTAATTTCCTCACAAATTAGCTCCTTTTTCCTAAATAGTTTCCCCTTAAATTTGAATTCAAATTAGATCTCTTTCCTAAATTCATTCCCTCCCAGTTGTAGTTAAAAATTTTCTAAATCTCCCTTGATCCCTTTTCCTTACATAATGGATTATAGCTTTATTGGCTCCCATAAGGGGGGGGACTCCCTCTCTGATGTTAAGGGGGGGGGGGGGGTGTGTGAACTCCCTCTCTCCTGTTATGTTTCCCGCCCAACAGAATTGTTGGGTTCAGCTAGTTTGGGTTGAATGGAACTCCTCGCTCTCGCTTGCCAGATTCGTAAAAATACTTGCCCCCCAAAGACGCACATTGTCCTCAAGGTGGAAGGATGAGAATTATCTCATGGTCATCTCATACGGATCCCATGTGGCTTCGTACTCTAGCAAAACATTCCACTTGATTAGTACCTCCTATGCCCTTGTTTCTCCTTATTGCACCTCTCTTACTTCCAGGGGCTCCAAAATGACCTTCATGCCTTTTGTCTGAGTCGAGGGTAGTGTAGATGGTGTGTGATCTCCTATTGCCTTATTCAACTGCTCTGTCAGTGTTCATGCTATAGTGATGTATTCCCTCACAAACCTTATGTAGTACCCGGTCAACCCTAAGAAACCTCGTAACTCCTTTAGAGTCTTAAGTAGTAGACTTTACAGCATAACCTCAATCTTGGCCTGATCAATGACCACCCCTCCTGAGATATCACATGCCCCAAGTATTTCACACTAGGCTGTGCAAAGCAACGCTTCTTCAGGTTAGCTCGCTGCTAATGCTCCTATTCCCTTGGTGGTGTCCATCTTGGAGGTGGCTAAAAGATCTCACTGAACTATTGTATAAGCGACTTTACCCAAAGAGGGATGTCTCCCCTCTCCTTCACCTTGATTCCTTCCAAACTCTACAACTCCACTTGAAATTCTCCCCCCTCTTGTATGGTCTTCATGGTTTTGAAAGAAACTATGGCTTTGGATAACTCTGCCTCTCCTCTGATCACCACCCTTTTTCCCTCCACCATCATTTTCATCATTAATGCTCCTCAATTAACCTTGGTGTCTCCTAAGGTCTATAGTCATTTCATCTCCAGGATGACATCAGTGCTCCCTAACTCCAATGAATGAAAATATTCCCTCACCTGGACCTCTTGTATGGTTAGAACCACCCCTCACCCACTCCTCTGCTTGTCTCCACATTCCTTGTGCCCATCATCACCTAGTAGTATCCTGTGTCCACCAGCTTTAGCCCCAATTGGTCCACGACCTAGTTGGAGATGAAATTGTGGGTTTCCCCACTGTCTATCAGCACTACTACCTCTTTGTATGCTATCTTTCCTCTCACTTTCATAGTATGATTTGAAATGAATCCCACTACTTAGTTCAATGAGTCCTTTGTCACATCTAAATGTAGCTCTTTTTCATCACATACGGTGAGAATCTGAAGAGTCCGGTCTCACAGTCTTCTCCTTCAGGGTCTCCCTAAGAATACTCGATGTTAGCCCCTTAGGTGCCAAAAAGGTGGTGGTCATCATGTATGAACCTCCTGAGCTGCTGCCTCTAGCCCTTCTCTCTAGGTGCCTTTGATCCTCCACTAATTGGGCTATCTCCATAACCTCTCTCAAATTACAAGGCCTCATCACTCTAACCATCATCTGGATCTCTGGTCTAAGCCCCTTCATAAAGTTTTACTCCATTATAGTCTCCGTCAGTCAGTCCATTTGGCTAGCAAGGTATTCAAACCTCTCACGGTACTCCACCATTGTCCCCTCTTGCACAGAGCAAAGAACTGCTCATATAAGTCCCCTCCCATGTTGGTTCGAAAACGTTCCAACAGATAGTCCTTAAACTCCCTCTAACATATCCCTCCACTGGTACTATGCCAATGCTTTCCCCTCCAAGCATAGGTTGGCTACGATCAACCCCTCATCCTCTGTCAACTCATTGACGACAAAGTACCTTTCCACCTTGTAGATCTATCCATGTGCTTCATCTCTCTTTAAAACATGCATCTTCAGCTTTCTCACCCTTGGATCTCCTCTGTCTCCCTTGTTTTCCTCCTTAACGTCCCATTCCCCATGTGGATGGTCCCTCTCAAGTTTCCCGAGATTATCCATTCTATGCTCGTACCCAAACCCTTTGTCAAAATCCCTCCTTTCAAAATTAGCACATCTTTGGTCATAATAAGCCTCTCGTTTTTCAAGTTCAGCCCCACTGCATTCATACCCAACCCCCTCATGCCTCTCCCTATACCTTCTACCTATCTCCTCCTTAGGAATGAGATCTAGAGGAGGCCTTCTCTCTTCTATCTGCTAGATATCCACCTCTTGTTCTTTCCCTCTCCTTATCAGATTAGGGTTCTTCTCACTACCTTGGCTATTGGTGGCTTCCCTTGCCTCCGACGATGTCGTTTTGGTTTGACCCTCAAGAAACTTCTTCATCATCTCCTCCATGATGGCAAATTTCCCATCGATCTTCTCGTGGATGACTAAAAATTGAGTTTGGAAATATGAAAATTTAGATTTCAGTTGCCCGATCTCCCCTTCCAATACTTCTACCTTCTTTCCCTCCATAAATACCTGAATCAAGGCTTCAAATAGAAAGAACGGCAAAAAAACAGTGGATTTGGTCTTCAAACAGCAAAAATCAATACGATCAGAGAGAAACACGCAAAAGAAATCAGTGATGAAGTTCGATATTTCAGCCTAGGACATTGCTCCGATACCAACTTGATAGGAAGAGGATGCACTTTCAGCCAACTCAGCGAACAACAAAAGAAAAATGGGAAGAAGAACACCCAAGAACAATGTATATTGCAAGAACTATGAAGGAAATGCAAGATACAATTGGATCTTCAATTGGAAAGGAAGATCCGACTCTCCCAAATCCCTAGCCGGCGGCTAGAGCCCTCACAGCCTAAGAAATCTAATTTCAGCAAACACACACATAATCCCGAAAATACAATATTATTAGCCTTAAATAGACTCCCCTAATTCCCCCCCAAATCAGTTTCCTTTTCCTAAATAGTTCTCTCCCAAATTTGAATTCAAATTAGATCTCTTTCCCTAATTAATTCCCTCTCAATTGCAATGAAAACTTTCCCAAACAATCTCCCTTGATACCTCCTCCTTACATAATGGATTATAGTTTTGTTGGGCCCTACAAGGGGGGCCTAACTTCCTCTCTACTGCTCTGTTTCCCACCCAATAGAATTGCTGGGTTTGGTTGGTCTGGGCCGGGCGAAGCCCCCCGCTCTTACTTGCCAGATTTGTAACGGAAATGTAGGCGGGATCATTTGCAAAACTGTAGGAATTGCAAGCGGTGCAGTTGTTTAGTCAAAATTCATGCAACTAATCCTTCTTGTGCACTTGCACTAAATTGATATCACAAAATAACTTGTTTGCTATTGGGCACTTGAGGAACTTGATAATTGTTTTTGGTGAAACAATGGTGGAGGCCTACGCATATATTCAATTAGGAGGAAAATTATCAATCAGCAGTACATTAATGGTTGTTTCTAAATTGTCAATTATTTTGATATCCAAATGAGCCATGATATTAGCAATAGATTTGCGGTTGGTGTGGAAGTTTCAGAGGGATTCAAATTCAACTTTCGGAGCACTGATCAGAATGCTAGTTAGATCCTTCTTGAATCTGAAGACATGATGCAACACTTCACGGCGAATATAAAGAGAGCACTAGTTGATATGAACCTGGATAAATAACAATTGAAGGTGTCAATAACCCCAAAAAATTGAAGAAATAAAATGGAATTTGAGAATAAAATTAAAAGGAGGCTAATTCATTTCATTGATTGATTCCTAATCTTCAAAATTAGGAATATATATAGTCTTGAAATGACGCACTAACTAGCTAATAACCACTCTCCCAACCCAAACTACGTATTACATTTATTCACACCATCATTAAGCACTAACGACAACTACTCATTACACATCTCTATCAACATATGAATGCCTGTTTATGTTGATACTTTATTGAAAAATGTGAAGGCGCTTAACGAGTTTCTGAAAACAAATGGCCCTTTTTTCAGTTGCTTTCTTCTATAGTTATTATTTGGTGAAATTAGTAAATTTATTATAAGGATGAGATTTGGATATTTTGGAGGATGCTGTAAGTCACTTGGATTTCTCATACACTATTGTCAACTGCTAGTAATTGAGAAAGTGAAAACTGGATCTACGTTTATATTTCTACATTCTTAGTTTCTATTAGTTTGCAAAGTTCTAACAAATAGGTTATGGAAAACGTGGCTTTATTTATCTGTATGCAGTACATAATTTCATCATTTTAACTTTGAATGAAGCTGTTAACTGTGGCACTTCTCCTCTCAAAAAAAAAAAAAAAAAAAAAAAAAAAAATAAGCATGGTCAGTTAGTTTATGCAGAATCCAAAGCAGATTCACATGCAAGCAGTAGACAGGATATTGCACTACCTTAAAGGGAGACCAGGAAAAGGAATTCTCTTTAAGAGAGATCGTGGAATGACCCTAGAAGTATACACAGATGCTGACTACGCAGGATCACCGGTTGATAGAAGATCTACTTCTGGGTATTGCACATTTCTTGGAGGAAACCTTATTACATGGAGAAGTAAGAAACAGAATGTGGTGGCAAGATCCAGTGCAGAAGCAGAATATCGAGCTATGGCCTTGGGAATATGTGAGCTACTATGGATCAAAATAATCCTAGAAGATCTAAAAGTTAAGTGGGATGAGCCCATGAAGCTACACTGTGACAACAAATCAGCAATCAGCATAGCCCACAATCCAGTCCAGCATGACAAGACCAAGCACATAGAAGTGGACAGACATTTTATTAAAGAAAAACTAGACAGTGGTCTAGTAAGTGTTGACCATGTATCATCAAAGGATCAACTTGCAGATTTCCTTACTAAAGGATTGGACAGTTCTGTCTTCCTCCAAATGATTGACAAGCTGAGAATGACGGATCCATATTTCCCAGCTTGAGGGGAGTGTTAAATCTCAACCTTACGATCCCAAAGATATCCACGGCTGTGAACAGTAATCCATGGGAAGACTACATGGATTGCATTAATTCCTCCCATTGATTTAGAAATAATTGTATTCATGTTATTATAAGAGTTATTTGTTTCCTTATCGATACACCTTGTATAGATCTATAAATAGGGAGTAGATTGCTTAATAAAATTCATGCTTTTCCCTCTCGTTCCTCTCAATTTAACAGTTTTCCATATGAACTTATCAAGAGAATTGACAAGTCAAGTTCTAAAATGATTATTACTTTTTAATTGTGTATTAAGGGGTTATTTTAGATGAATTGATGTTAGATTTTAAGTCCTTGTGGTGGTAATGCTTTTTTGATGCTTTGCTTTCCAAAAATCTACAATTTTACAATGTTGATTTATTTCATTTATCAGAATAGACCACAACGTTTCCAATCAACGCCTAAATCTAGTATTGTTTACTTGATTTTTTTACTTAATCTTTAGTTCATTTAACCAGACTTCATATTCTTGCAGAGTACCCATGTTGCAGCTCAGTATGGTCAGACAACATTTCTATACCACATAGTTACGAAATGGAATGCTGATCCTGATGTACCTGACAATGATGGAAGAAGCCCTCTGCATTGGTATCAGCTGTTGTCCTTTTAAGTTCAGGGCAAAGTTTATATTTAGCAATGTTCTTTCTTTCTATTTATTTATTCATAAGAAAAGAATCAAAATGACCCCTTAGCTTTTTATGAAAAATTAAAATAATCCCCAATTGTATTAAAGAATCATTTTATTCCCTCAAATTTTTGAGAAGGAATCAAAATAGTCTCATGGTAGGACTATTTTGATTCCTCTTTAAGAAATTGAGGGACCAAAATGGTCCTCTAATATAGTTGGGGCCCATTTTAGTATTTTATAAAAAGTCAAGAGACCATTTTGATCATTTTCTCAATTATTTATATTTGACTCCACCGTTAAATATATTTGGAGTATTTACTTTTCTTATCTTGCAAAAACTTGAAACTGTAATTATATCCCCATTCTGCTTGTTCTATGGTCTTTTTTATCTGATTGAAGTTGATGTTATTACTTATCATTATTAGACATGTAAAATGTTCTCAACTGGTGTCAGCAGTGTTCTAACAATTGTAGGATACATTAGTAATGTCTAAACTAAGTATTTTACGTTCTATGGTTTCTCAGCTGATCTGTTTCAAACAATTTTTGTTTTGTAGGGCTGCCTATAAGGGATTTGCAGATAGTATACGCCTTCTTTTGTTTTTGGATGCATACAGGGGGAGGCAGGACAAGGAAGGTATGGCCACTGTCTTAGTATGAATCATCTGTTCTCCCACTTTTTCTTCTACTTCACACACCTAATGAATACACCAGCAAAATGTAGTAAAAGATAAAGTGCTGCCTGGTGGGATGGGGGACTTGTGTAGAGTATTGTTTCCCTTAATGCTGGTGTTTGTTGAAATGTCTGGATGCAGGATTGTGTTTAAAATTCTGAATTAACCTGCCTAATTTTAATTTGCGCATCTTTCTTAATCATAAGGTTGTACTCCTCTTCATTGGGCTGCCATCAGAGGGAATTTGGAGGCATCAACAGTGCTAGTTCAGGCAGGGAAAAAGGAGGACCTCATGGTGACAGATAAAACTGGTTTAACTCCAGCACAGCTGGCTGCTGATAAGAATCATCGGCAAGTTGCCTTTTTCCTTGTAGGTTTTCTCCTTTTTGAAAATGAAATAACTTCTAAATCTTTTTATCTGATATGCTTGAATCTTTGAGTTGAATTTTTCTCTCGAACACTTAAGCTAAGTCCTTGAATGGTTTTAGATTTTCTCCACTCTTCTCGAGCAGAAATTCCTAAATTTCATAATTTTAGTGCAAGCTGCTTATTTTTTTCTCCTGCTTCTTGATTTGTCCTGAATAAAGGACCTGGTTTAGTTTGGGCTTGCAAATGAAGAGTGAGGTGTTTGGCGCAGTTGGCAATTTTTCAATAATTGCTTAGGCTTGCAAAAATTTGAAAATAAGTAGATTTAAAAAAATGCAAAATTGTGAAGACAGCACACAAAATTTTAGTGAGGTTCAACCTCAGTCTATATCTTTTCTTAGACCTACACCATCTAAGATACCACTTTTCTTAGACCCGGGGTGGAGAAAGCCCTTACAACCATTGCTTATCCTTGAAGGGGAAGAGCAACCCAAAAATTAAGTTTACAAAAGACAAAGTTTCCTAAAACTTTGCAAGAAGAATCCAAGATCTAACTATTTGATCTAACAAAAATAAAGTAGGAAAATTAGAAGTTAAAACTTTAAGAGTAGCCTTACAAACTTGACGATTGTTCAAACAACTTTGAAAGTGCGTGCAGATGATGTTGCTTTGCATGAGCTCATGCTTTTGAAGAAATTTGGATTAGCTCTTAAAATTTTCTTAAGAAAGAATTTTGCTTTAAAGAGAATCTAAGAGAAAAGAGAGATGAGAAAGTTTTCTCAAGTTTTGCATTCTATACTAAACACTATAATTTAATATTTATAGCATGTCAGATATATCCAAAGTATATACAAAAATTCCCCTTAAATGTTTCGAGAACAACTATAAAATTACTAATCAAAGAAAAAGCTCTACAATGAGTTAATTATGAAATTATTTCTTTATAAATACTAGATTTAATATATGTATAAAAAAATTAAATTTATTAAATAACTTTTGTAAAATCGTAAATATTTAATATTGAAACACATATGTCAGTGAGGCATCATAAAAATTTAAAAAATGAAAACTCTTAAGTATACTAAATAACATTTTAAAAATACAAGCTTATTACTTTTAATTAATATAATTAAGCATTATTAGCTCATTTTGCTAAATTTAATATTATGTATGATGCATATAAAATTATGTTAACTTATTAACTTAAGAAACACTTAATTATACACTATAGGAAAGTTGTGAATTTTCGGCGGAAAATTTTCAGGTTTCCGGCGGATTTCAAGATTTTCCGGTGGATTTCCGACGAAAACGTGTTCGAAGGTAAATCGAGTGTCGGAAAACTTTTCCGCCGGAACTTTTTTCCTGTGGAAAAGAACCGTCGGAATAAATGAAACGGTTAAAAAAAAAATCCCATCTCGGGCGCCCAATTTGAGTTTCTCCCGCAGGTTCGCACCCCACGCCCAGCCGCTCCAACTGTTAAATTAAAATAATTTGATAAAATAATAGTTTATTAAAATAAATTATAAAATTATTAATGAATTAAATTACAAATAAATTATATTTTTAGAGATTTAAATAATTCGTCGGAAAATCCGTCGAAAAAGCTGCCTGAAAAATATTCGCCGGAAAATATGCTTGAAAATTTGTCGGAAATATTTACAAATAATCCGTCTAAAATCCGCCGGAAACTCCCACGGAAATCCGCCGAAAATTCTGCCGGTAATGAGCTGTTTTCCTATAGTGATAGAAGCTTATTAATATGTAAGTTAGGCTCATTATCCTTATTTAGACGGTTAATAAATTAATTAACTCATACATCTCTATATACTAAATTAATAGAATATAAAATAAATTTAAAATCTTCTCAACTTGCTATATTGATAAATGAGTTAAAAAGAAAATTGTGATGATATATAGAATGATTTTAAATAATTTGTAATTTTATTTATTAAATTCATAGATTTTTATTATTTAAAGTTTGAGCTTGAGCCATCATTTTTTATTTACAAATTTAATGAATCTAAAGACTTTCTAAAACTATAATCTTGAATGTTTTTTGAACTTCCTCATTTGTTTTTTGAATATTCCATCAATTGATTTACTATCAAAATTTTAGAGTGATTCTTTTTCATAATAAATAATATAACATTTACATTCAATGCTTGTAGATAATCAATTTTAGGTTTTATTCCTCAAAATAGTTTAGAAGGTTTATTCTTAAAGAATAGTCTAAGATTAACTCTATTAATTACTTAGCATGAAGTATGTTTAGCTTTTGCCCGAAAATAAATTGATAGCCTACATCCATCAAGCAGAAATTGAGCTAATTCTACTAATATTCAATTTTTTTCCCTCTTTGCTTTCTTTGCATCAATTAAGTTTGGACAATCCCACTTTATGTGCCCAGGTTTCTTATAATGAAAGTATCTTATTCCATCACCTATGGAAGTATTATTAGTTCTAAACTTATAAACGTTAGTCTTGCCTTATCTTGTTTGTCTCTTCTATTGCATGGATCCTGGTCTTCTAAATAGCATAGCTATCCTTATGTGTCTTCATCATCATTGCATATGTCTCTAAATTTTCAACTTTTAGAGCTATTAATTTTCCTTTCTCATTTTATTTCTTCAATGCAGTTTCTTTCTTTTCTCTTGCTGCTATAGCTTGTTCTTGTATTAAAAGAGAACCAAGCAACTAATCAAGTGAACAAGTGGAAAGATATTTGGATTCCATGGTTAAAGTCAACTTTGGGTCCTAGTCCTTAGGGAAACAATGAAAAATGTTTTGGACAGAATTAACATTTTTATATTCTACCTTATGAGTGCAATGAGTTTACAATTTTTATAAATCTTGTATGCATATCACTAATAGGCTTATCAAATTTCATGTGAAATAATTCAAATTCATGAACTAGTTTATGAATATTTATATTTCTAACTTTATTAGTTCTTTCGTAAGTTCTTATAAGTTTATCCAAAATGTCTTTGGTTGTTTAGCATTGAGATCCTCATATAATCTTTAGTTTTCCGAGCACAATACAAATCACTCATACTTTTATTATTTAGCTTGTTGACGACTATCTCAGCCAAAGTCTATTCTTAAAATGACTTTCAATATTTACTCCACCTAATATCTTACTCGTTGGATTTATTATAAGTATAATATGTTCCATGGATGAGGATTTTATCCTTTTAGAAATCGACTCAGAAGGTTCTTCCAAAAATCAAATGGACATTATCTAAAAATGGAGGCTTTGTGATGGAGTGGAGTGATTATCTGTGTTGTAAAAATAATTTTTGTGCCATAATGAATGGATCTTCGCTTGGTGGCTAAGCCTAAAATTAAAGTCAAGGATAAGATATCAATTGAAATTTATGATACAATTAAGAGGAGGGTGAATTTGTACTATTTCAATAATCACTTAAACTTGCAAAAATTTAAAGGAGTGCAAAATTAAAAAAAATTGATTTGCAAGAAAATAAATAGTTCTAAAAAATGCAAAAGTAACTGAAAATTGATGAGAGACAACATACACAAATTTTATGAGTTTTTACCCATCTGCCTATGCCCTCTCGTAGACCTCCATTGTATAAGATTCCACTATTTTAATCTTACTATCGCAGGATCTTGTTTTCGGAGTAAAGAAAGCCTTTACAATCTATGTTCTTCCTTACAAGCAAGATCAACTCAAACCTATATTTACAAAATTATTATAGCATAGAAAACTTTGTAAAAAAAAAAAGATCTAAGATCTAACTATTTGATCTAACAAAAATTTGGCTGAGAAAACTAAAACTTTTAGAGCAATCTTATAAATTTGAAGATTGCTTAAACAACTCTAAAAATGCTTGCAATTGATGTCGTTGTATGAGCTCAAGTTTTTGAAGAAATTTGAATTAGCTTTTAAACTTTTCTCGAGAAAAAAAATTTCTTTGTAGGGATTAAGAGAAAAGATAGATGAGAAAGCTTTCACTAGTTTTTGATTTCACACTAAATTCACTATAACATCTCATATGTATAGTCTTTCAAAATATGTCCAGAAAATATAAAAAATTTCCCTTTTAGGCTCATAAAATGGCTCTAATATGGATTGTCAAAATATTTCAAATAAGTCATCAACAGCTAGCCAACTTTTAATGGAAATAGCTAATATTTGAAAAATCATAACTAATTCATTTTTAATCAAAAGTATGTTATGTAACCTATCAAATTGTATCTAAAAACTAGCGAATCCAATGTAATAAAACATAAATTGAATTTTTGTAATTATAAAATGATTTTGGTATAAGTACTAATTTTAATATATTTATATGAATTTTTAGATGTATTAAATAACCCTAAAAAAATTTGTAATATTTTATATAGAAATACATGCCAATATGGTGTTATAAACATTAGTCAAAATGAAAACTTTATACTAAAGAAGGCTCCAAAAAATGTAATTAATACAATTAAGCATTATCAGATCATTTTTTGTAAATTTAATGTTATGTTTGATGCACATAAATTAGTTAACTTAAACTTATTGATATATAAGTTAAGCTCATCATCCTTAATTAGATAATTAATAAATTAATTAACTCTTACATCCATATAAATTAAATTAAGATAATTTAATAGAAACTTAAGATCATCTCATCTTGCTAATATTTATAAATGAGTTAAAAGCAAATTTAATTAAATTAATTATAGTTATAATACTTTAAAATTCATTGAAATTTTATTTTAATTCATAGATTTTTATTATTTGACACTTGAACTTGAGCCATTATTTTTTACTTAGTTTCTTCCTTAGAATATAATCTTGAGTGCCTTTCAAATCTCTTCATTCATATTACAAATAACCTGATAATCAAATTGATATAGTAATTTTAAGATCATAAATTTATACTCGAATCTATCTTGAAATCACTTGGTATAGATAATTAGAATCTCTGAACACGTATTTTTTCATCAAAATACGCTCATCCATAGTATGGGCTCATTATATCAACAAAGAGAACAATATATGCTTCTTGAAGACAAATGAAATGGAAATTTCAAACTTGTTTGTTTGGTATATCTAGACTTTGCTTTAATGGGTTTAGAAATAGATGTGGGTACAACCATGTGTTGTTATCAGTATTAAGAAAGTATATGTGTTAATGGATGCTTAGTTTTCTGGTTTCCAAGTTGTGAGATGGATTATTTGGGTGTTTTAGGCAGGAGCAAAACTTTTTTTGTTTTTTGAGTGGAGCAAGCAACGTTTTTAAATAAAATAATTATGTATATACTTTTTGATATATTATTGCATGCTTCTTAATCATATATGATGAAATTTATAATCCATTATCTTTATTGGGGTGTGCTATTTTGTATTTATCAAAAGTGAAATGAAAAAAAAGTCAAAATTCACTATAACTTGAGCCTGCTTTATTCGTACTATTTTAAAAGTAAAAAATAAGTATTATTATTAGTTAATGTAAATATTACAACACTAACTAATTGCAAATTATTCCTAATTGAGAAAAAGAACTAGAAATAAAAGAAATCGAAAAGGCCAATATATGACCAATGAATCAACTGCTGGAAGAGATGAGCCCGCAGAGACCACATCACACTAACTAATTGCAAATTATTCCTAATTGAGAAAAAGAACTAGAAATAAAAGAAATCGAAAAGGCCAATATATGACCAATGAATCAACTGCTGGAAGAGATGAGCCCGCAGGACCACATCAAAATTTCTCAAGTTGAAGCCTAACATATTTTGGAAAGCGGCGTCATACTTCTTTTGCAGTTTCTTTTTCTCCTAGCATATATAAGCTGAATTTTTTTTTTTACAAGCTCCAAAGCGCTAGAAATGTTAACTTCATAAGTAATAGAAATAGAGTTAGAATCACTCATGACTCTCCAAGTAGGATCATGAGCAAAAAAATCCAATTGGGTTTAGAGCATTAATCATAAGAGAATATCTAACACGTGCAACAATGACGAGCGTACAAAACACGTGCAAGCACGGCCGAGCATGGAGCACATGGAGAAGAGTAGCTAGGGCTTTGGTTGAGAAGTTATATTATTGCACTTTGACTATAGATCTAATTATATGACTAGTAATCTCTTTATTGTGTAATCTTACTTTTTTAATGACGATATAGCTTATTTGCATTTAGGCAAAAGATCAATAATTGTCAGTCACCGAGGACTTGTTGGGCTAATGCATTTGTTGAGTTAGGATTGGTGGAACTAAATGCTTTGTACTTCTTAGACCATTGTAAAAAAGCATATTTTAGGATGGGGTTGAATCCTTTGGCATCTACTTTGTCCTATAGTTGGAAACATGGTGATATATTGTTGAAATAATCTTCAATTTGTGGCCAACAATTTTCTATTTACAACAACCTAGCAATCCATGAATAACACTTTTCCATCTACATTAATCTAATAATCTTTAGACGGTAGGTTTCCATCTAAACAATCCAGTAACCTATACACATCAACTTTCTATTTTTTTCTGCGTAGTTAATTTTGGATTCTAGAATTGAATGGTTTTCAAATTTGTTTTTTTTAAGATAGTTTTATCTCTGCCTATTTATGTATAATTTCATGTAATCTTTTTAACAAATAATAATGGAATACATTTTAGTCATAAATTCTCCCATTTTTACTCTCCTCTTTTCTCATTCTAATTTTCAAGTTATATTATGTTTAAATTTTTTTTAATACCTTGCTAATAGTTCTACTAATTTAATAATATTAAAGTCCTAGTTCTAATCTCTTATTTGTGAGCATGGATTTTCTTTACTGAAAAGCTTAGAAGCAATTATATTTTGAATCTTAGTTAAAGTTGATTGTGCAAAAGTTTTTTTCTGTTATGATTTTGTTCTTAAACGTTCTCTTCAATCGCGTGCCTTATTTTTCTCTTGGTAATACTCATTTATGCAGGGGAATGCCAGAAGATTGTTTGATAAACGATGTGATGGGAATAGCTATTTTGGAAGATTATCAAAATTAGGACTTGCTCCTTTCCTTTGGTGCATTATTATCTCCATGCTTGTTACATATATAAATTCAGTAGTAACAGGTATATTATCCCTCTTCGCTCTTCTGGCTATGTTCAAATTTTTTCAATTTCATTTCTTCTTTTTAATCTACTCAATCATCATGCTATTCTCAGGATCAAGATTTTCAGGGTTAACGGTGGCATTGGGGCTTGTCGCATGGTTGGGAGTTTTACTTGCAAGTTTAGGATTATTCATGTTCTATAAATGTAGCAGGTACGATACCTTATATTTAACGCCTTGAGTTCTTTTTTTGTGGTCACTTCTTTCATCAATCATTTATCATGCAGATTAATGGATTTTCCTTGGGGCTTTTTTTTCTTAGTTTGCATCAGATTGTTTTAGCATATTGTAATATTATTCTTAATTCAAATATAATAGATTCTGTTGGCTTTGTAAAAATTATTTCAAATGTTAAATGCAACTTCTCCTTTTTGACAACCATTCTGAGAGGTGAATATAGCCTTACTTCAGAGGGCCTTTTAATTAAACTATTAAAAAAATTTATTCACTAGATTTGCATGTTGCATTCAATTATGGTTTGTTACATCTAGTTTTCTTGTTTTACCCAACTATATGCGAGGTTGTGTCTTGTTTTCTCTGGGTAAGTGGACATAATCAGTAGTCATGGATTAAAAATATGTTTGCAATAGAAGCGTGTGATTAAAACTGGATGTATCATTGGTGATGTATTGAGTGAATTTGGGCTTCAGTTGGAATTCATCTTATCTATGCAAGTCCACCTTGTGTTTAGGAAGATTTATGAATATTCTATATTTCTCTTAAGCTATTCTTGCATTTATGGATTTTAAGTAGCTATTTTGGTGATTGATTTGCTTGGTCTGTGTAAATTCTCTATAAGATAACGATTCATTGAACCGTATTGGTTTCCAACATGGTGTGCTTTTTATTTTATAGTATAAATACATTTCTATGTATAATGGTATATAACTTTTCCATCACAGTCGTGATGCTTTCTTTAATATTAAAACGTGGAAAAAAAACCCATTTGCTGTCATGCTCAATTAATATAAAATATATGTTATAAATTGAACTTCGAACATCAAAACTATATTGCAAAACGTGTCATTGCCTGATCTAAAAGTCTATTATTTAACTTGATAGCAGATTTTTACATGTTGCAGAACATATCATTTGACCTTGTTTTAGGTTATATTAATGTGGGTTTATCATCCAACAGGTTCTAGAACTTTTTGTTTTATCCCCTTCAAGCTGATGGAACTCATGATGACATAACTAGTAAAACGATTTGTTGTATTTGGTCCATCTTATTATGAAAACATGGACTTAATTTCAGCATCTATGGAACATTAACTTTTCTTGATTCTATGGCTTCATATATTAATTTGCTCAGTGGTATTCTATGATAGGACTTAATTCCTTCTATTTCTACTCTTGTTTGCTAAAAGTGCTTATAACTGTGGTTCGCTTCACCCAAAAGATGCAATAATATGGAAAAGGTCACACTTGCTCCTTAAGCACAGTGGGACTGAGGCTGCAAGTGTAGTTTATTCATCTTTTTAATTTTTCCTGTTAATAACATCATTGTTTCTTTTGGCTTTTTTTGGGTGAATCATCTTCACTTTCTTACAGTTTAACTAAGCTCCTCTTAGACTATTTTGTGTGTTTTTAGCTTTCTCTCATAAATTATTTTGGCTCTAATTATGTAGCAACCTTTACCTCTAACCTTGTTTTTCTCTATCTTAGCTTTTAGCTAATAGACGATAATTGTGGGGTTGGAATTCTTCTCTTGTGTAGTTTCGTGAATTTACAAATTTTTATTCCTTTTTTATACTCTCTTTGTTTGTGCATTGCTGCATGTGTATTAAACTTGTTGCAACCCCCCTCCCCCCCCCCTATTTTTCAGTGCATGATATCTTTAAAATTTATTTTAGGTGACCTAGTTTTCCCTACTAATAGATTTAACTTACAAATTTTTCTTTAGAGTCATGCTTTATATATGGATTTGTTGTGTGATAGGAAACCTTCCTAAGCAACAAAAACACAATTAAAACCTTCATAAAAAACATAAACACAATTAGGAAATATTTCTAAATAGCTAAGACCTTTATAAACAATATAAACACAATTAGGAAACCTTCCTAAATAATTAAAATCTTTTCTAAACAACATAACACAATTACGAAACCTTCATAACAACTCCCCCTTGATTCCTCCTCCTTACATAATGAATCATATCTCCCCTGGGCTCCACAAGGGGGGTTTAAATCTTCCCCTCTGCTGCCCCTGGTTCAGCCCAACCATAAGGGTTGGTTCAGCCAAAGGCTGGGCCATCGGGCTAGTCTGGGTCGGTCAGGTGGCTTCACCTTGGCATATCAGAATGCGTGGATTTACTTTTAGAAACAAAATGCAAAATAAATACATATGAGAAAAGGTTGGAGTAGCTCCAGTGGAAGATAAGATTAGAGAGAGTCAAAACATCGAGCCTCCGATGACCTGGTTAGTAGAGTAGATGTATTAAATTTGACCTATGTTTAGAAAGGTAGAGGTAGGCCTAAAAAAGACTTAGTTGGAAAGTATTAGAAATTATATTTTTTATTAGTGTTAAATGAGAATTTGACTTTTAATAGAATGAAGTAAAGAAAAATGGTTCATGTAACCGACCCCACGTTATGGAATAAAGATTTGTTGTTGTTGTTGTTACATTTAAAAGGAACGAGAGTGTCTTTGAGTAGGTGTATAATTTATTTATTTTAAATATAATAAATGATTCATATGTTTTATGCATTTCATTATGACTTTTTTCTATAGATTCATATAAAGAAGAGAATAAATTAGATCAAAAGCATTTATATGATTTAGTGTTTATCAAGTATAACTAAACTTTGAAGAAAATATTTAATTTTAAAATTGTTATTAATCCAGTTAGTTTGGATTCTAGGGTAGAAAGTTGTGAGCGGTTAATTGGTGAAATAAATGATACTAGTGAGTAATAGTTTGGTGATGAAGATCTCATTTGGTGACAAATTGAACAAACATCAGGCGAAGTTGATCAAATGTGGTACTTGAGATTTATTAAGTAAAAAATAAGAGGAGGTTCATCCACAATGAGGGAGAATGCATCTTGACCTGAATTCTCTTATATTTGTCAAGAAAGAGAAGATGAGATTGACTCTTTGAAGATGAAGAAATTCTAATTGAGAGGGAAAGAAATTATGTGAATAAAAGAGAGGATGATGACTAATGAATTTCATTTAGCTTGTTTAGAGAGCTTGAGATTTTTTAGATTTAAATTTATCTTTTACTATGAGTTAAATGTGTTTTATGCAATGTTGAAGTTCTTAAATTATACATTAAACTGTTACATTAGTTTGACTTAAAATTGTTTTTTAATTCCTATGCATAAATAGAAATCATTAGAAATTTTAAATTTTATGTTCGCTTTTCTAAGTTTACCTTCAAATTAGGCAGGTACATCACATTTATTTTCGATTTATATTTGAGTCATCCATTAAATTCTTCATATTTTATAATTATTATTGAATGAATTATTATATTTATATAAGTTATGAGTGCTTTAGCTAATAAAAGCACCCCTTTGTTTTGTGCTTTATGCATCGAAGCAAAAAGGAACCCTTGCACATTGCTGGGTTTTGTGCTTTAATATCATTGCTCATATGGTTTCATTTTGAATTATATGATAGTAGTAAATTTGCATGGTGCTTAATACATATTGTTAATATGTCAAATAATATGTTCTACTTGTAAGACATATGTTCTCTTATGTCATCAAAATTTTAATAAATTATTCATGATTATTTCATTCTATGTTAGAAATAACACATTCTAAGTTACGCATTGTGTCTACATAGGATCTTTATATTAGGATATCTATTCGTTTCTTACAAATATGAATTTGATGCATTAATAATACCGAATTACATGACCTAAGTCTTTCTATATATTTCTATTAATAGTTAACTTAAAAAAATAAGGATGATAACGTAAGACATCAAATAATATTGAAAAATACAGTGAATTATGACTAAGGTACACGTATCCCACTTGCTTCAAATGTATGAATATTCTTTCTTTTTTGTGCTCATTGACTGACTATCTAATGTAATGAGAATTTCTCAATGCTACATTTCAATCTCTTTAAGGGAGATATGTCTCTTAAGAGTCTTCTTGTCCATTTTTAATTTAATAATTCTGTTGTGTAATATTCAGAGCATACTTAATGATTTTAATTTATGAAATATATGGGCTAAAATTGAATAGTTTGTGTGGGCTTTTTATAAGCTGCATTATCATCATCATTTTAACACTTGTTTGATGAATGATTAAATCATTTTGAAAAAGCAATGAAATTCAATTTAAAACTTGTGCTCACATTGTAAGCATGGCTAATGTGATGGTTTGCGTAACTATTACAGAAAGTGGCAGGCTTAAGCAAAAGTAGAAGATGCCTAATCTCCTTTATAGAGAAAAAAAGTCCTTGTAATATACATGGTTTTGTATTTATTTGAGTTCTTTTCATATTTGCAAGATTATGGGGAGCCTTTTGTGTGATTACGAATTGTTTGGCATCATATTACCTCCTATTATAAACAGATAAGGTTTGTTGATGGCTGATCAATGTACTTCTTTGGATGGAATATGTGTTGTTTCAAGACGCATTAAGAATTGAGTTCTATAATGATGTCATATGGAGAGTGTACTCACCACATGAGGTTCTTAATATACTAATATTGTGTGGGCTTGCCTTGCATGCTATAGAGGATGTTTTGTTGATTCAAATTCATGATCTACATATTACCAAGGAAAACCTAAATAAGCCTACCCTCTAATAATCTCATATAATGTTTTACAAAAATTGGTTTTAGACCTGGGCTAGCACTCATTGTTTTTTCGTTACGTATCAGACTCCATTTCTTTGACGCATACTCCTTTACTTTGACCCCTTCCTTTTATAAGAAATATGGAATCCATGGAATGAACCATATATCAAATGCAAATTATCAAGTTAGCCATCCAACAGTCCCTACAAATTTTCCTTCTCTTTTAGCTTGTTAATTTGATATTTTTTCCTTGAAAGGCAAGTTATAGCTCTCATTTCTTGTTGAGTCTTAATTTCTGGAAGATTACAAGGTCCATGCCAATTGACATACTCTGAAAATTTTGCAATCAATGCTTCTTGAATCATCACCTCAGCCTAGTGTTGACAACCTCTCTTAGCATTCCTCTTGTAGCTAGCTCACGCCAGCACCTGTTGTTGCTTCCATCCAGCGTGGTTAACGTTGAACTTAATAATCCGGATGATTGGAGTTGATCCGCCACTTGATTCATGTCCCAGCTCAACAATCTATCATGGTCCATCCATGTTATATGAAGAATGAATTGATTCCTATACTTATTGGGCAAACGTTTTTGTATACTTTATTATGGGCAGTTATAGCTTTAATATGTGCCTAGTTTTTTTTCTTCTATTATAGATGACTTATATCTCCAATAAAATATATACCTCTATATTTTGTGAATGGAAAAAAAAAAAATAGTATTCTTCCCTTATATTTCAACATAGTATTATAGCCACACTTCTCTATCCTTCATCCCTTTCTATCTTCCATCTTCATCCTTCTCCAAGGGTTTTTCTTAAAGTATGATGACAGTTAAACATGAAATAGCTTTGGGAAGAAGATCGTTCTCTCGTTCGGCCTCCTACAATGAATTATGTTCTTATGGAAACATTGATATCCAAGGAATTTTCTCTAAGTCGTTATAATCAAATCAAAATCAAGAATTATAGTGTATTTGGAGCAATAGTTGATCGGAGATGGCTGATAACACGTGGAAGTGACTTGTAGCGGTGGTGGCTACTATTGAGCCAATGATGGTGGCGATGATGATTGGCGAGAGGTGATGGAAGTGGATGGGGTAGCAGATGACAGGAGGTGATGGTGATGACAACAATGATAGTGTTGGTGACATCACTTTTGTCTAATATGCATATTTATAATTCACTTAACAAGGACGATTTCTAAATACGCATAATAAACTAGAAGGTGAATTCCAAATTTACGCCCAAAATATTTTGCATTTGAAATGTAGACATCTAGATGCTCGAATTTCAAAACCCCTTCGTTTACTTTACTCTCAAATGGTGCCGACCAAGCATCCCCTAAGAGAATCTAATATGCATGTTTGTAAACTTGGAAAACACTAGTTTATCCATCAAATAAAATTGGAACTAAGGGGGACTAAGCCCAATCGACAAAGGTGCCACTGGTTAGTATGAAAACTCAACTATCTCAAATTGGACCTGATATTTATTTCTCTTTTAGTATTGTTAGTCTGTTTATGAATAATCCCACAAAAGAGTGTTGATTCTGTATAGAAGATAACGAGGTATCTAAAAAAGGCACATGAAAATGGATTATTCTTCAAAAAAGGATATACATAAGCATAAAAATTTTCATGTATGTTGATTGGGCTAGATCTGTTAGAAATTATAAATCTACATCAAATATGGGGAATTTTAATTACTTGGATAAGTAAAAAAGAATATGTTGTTTCCCTGAGTAATGCAAAGTGGAATTCAGGGTCTTGGCTATCGTTTTTGTGAGGGTATGTGGCTTGAAGGCCTTCTTAAAGATTTTATATGTTTTCATTACAGAGCTTATAATAATGTGTGACAGTCAATATACTGTTAACATTACTGAGAACCCTGTCCAAGTGTCCAACATGATCAAAGTAGACAAGTTGAGATTTATAAAAGTTTCATAATAAAAGGAATTAACCACAGTATCATTCAAATGGATTACACTCCAACAAAACTTCAAATTGCAAATATCATGACTTAAGCTCTTGATCAAGAACAATTAGATAACCTTACTTGAATGTCCAACATATATTCCTAACTTTAGGGGGAGTGTGCAAATTTCACATTGAATACTTCCTAAATTAGTGCCTTAGCATCCTATCGATGTCCTCTGCCACTAATCCTTTATGGCCAGCTCGCGCTAACACTTTCTGCTTCTGCTTCCTCTTCCTTCCTGCATGATTAACCTTCAGCTCAACAACCCACTTGATTGGAGTTGATCCACCTGGATTCATGTGCATGCTTAGCAATCCACCAATATTTGGCTTTCCTTACACAATCCTCCATGCTATATGAAGAGTGAATTGATCTATACTTATTATGCAAAATTTTTCTTTGTTGTTATGGCCAGTTATGGCCAAAGAATGTATCTAATTTTCTTTTTATTCGAGTTGATATATATCTCATATAGATTGTATATCTCTTCTACTTCATGAAGAGAAAAATTAAGGATTCTTCCCTCATATTTTCTTTTTTCAACACTTAGTAATAATTATTGTACTATAGTTATATTTGAGTTATCTGAAGAATGTGTACTTTACAATGGGCTTAACAAAGAGATTTTAAGGTTAATAGATATGTATGCGTTTGTTATTCAAGGCTTTGTTAGGACATATAAATCTATCAGGTGAACTTAAATTGTATGAGGCTTTTATTACTTAGAGGCTCCATGAAATATTTTGTTCTATTAGCTAAATCTAAAGTAGATTATGTCTTTTTGAGTAATTTAAATTTTAGTTATATGTTCCCCCGTGTTATGATGCACTTCCAAAAATTTTGTTTTTATTATCTATTTTTTTTCTATATTAATATCATATTCATAAATGATTTGTTGTGGCACATACTTTATGATTGGGTGACTTGTGTGTATTGCATTTTATGGTTGTAGGAAGGACCCTGGATATATTAGAAGAAATGTTCGAGATTCACAGAGCCTTAGAGATGATGTAAGTTGTCAAAGCGTCCATTTAATTATAATATGATTTTATAATCATTTAGTTATAATCTGATTTATCAAATGATTTGATGTGAATATGTTTTTGCTCTAGAAAAAATGTAAATGCTCTAATTTTTAAAATGTCTCAAATAATGAGCTAATTTTGGATATAATCTTTCCTCTTCCACTAATTTGTTTTCTACGGAATATATTTGATATATTTTGGCTTAAAAAAGGTTCATCTCTCTTTTTAACCTATAGTTTTAGCTTATAATCTGTGCAGGTATGCTAGATTCTTTATTTTTTTTATTTTTTATTTAAAATAAAAGGTATGCCCTTTTAGCTGCATGTTTGACAGAAGGCCTCAATGTGCATCAGACTAGTAGTGGATTAATATGAACGTATTATTGGTGCTTCTTTAGTCCGATACCATAGATGGAATTTTAACCGATAAAATTAAATTATGCATCATTTTATGCTTTAGCATTACGATTCTTAAGAACATTTTAAAGCTCGTAAGCATCTATGTACAGAACATTATCTTGAGTATTATATATATATATATATATATTATATATGGGTGAATAATGTGATTAAAGTGATTATAAGCTTCAAACATCATTTATATATAAGTATGTCCTATGAAGATTGGTCCGAAATATTAAAGGTATTAGATGAAACTCTTGAAGAATTATGCATTTAACTTTTATATGGCTCATTTACAGGATTCAATATCACAACCATGATTTTCATCATAGTTATTCATAGCTTCATCAATATTATAAATCATTAATGTTGAAGCATGTGATTTCAGTTAATATTCTTATGTTAATTGTCTTGTAAGATTGGATGCCTTCAATAGAATTTTGCATATGATTACACCCTATTTAAACCCACACTATCTTATAATGATGAGAGATCATATTATATGCTTTTTTGTGAATAAAAGTTTTAGAAGTATGTCCTACATACAAAACTTAAGGAAATTATATAACTCCACTACTTCCAAAACCAAATATTCACGAGTTGGTTTATAAACATATTTTTGTGATGGTTTTGTAGATGAACTTGATGATTATGGTAAATCATCCCTTTCACAGTTCCTGCTAAATATATTGCCTTGAGGTGTGCAGTAGACTATATTGAGCCTAAATTGGAGATTAAGTTCTAAGCATAGATTGAGATATCTTTTGTTGATGATTTTATTGAGATGAAAAATACTTTAATTCACATGTTCAACTACTTCAGATTTGTATTCATATGTTCCAAAATTGCTTTGCGCTTTCCCTTAAGAAGAATAGTTTGAGTTTATGCTATGATTACATTGCCAAAACCATTTGATTATGGGATTTCTTATGATATTGATCAAATAGAGGCATATGATGTGTGCAACATTCATAATTGAATCCTCTAGAATATACTCCTTATGCACATATAACTCATTGTGAAAGTTTAAGAGATGTTCCTGATCCAATTTCTTTGCTACCTCTACCATAGAAACCAAACTTCTAAGAAAAGGGCTTCAATTTAAACTCTTTAGGATAAGAGTTTTATTGGCTTATGGGGAGTTGATGTAAAACCAAGAAGAATATTTCTTCAATGTTATACTTTTTTATAATTTAAAGATTTATTTTAGTTTAATTTAATTATTAGGATTATCTATTTTTATTTTTATTTAGAGGGTAGGATTATTAGTTATTGTTTAGATGTTGATTAGTTTTGAATTCGAATTAATTTTGTCTTATCTTATAAACTCTTTTTTTATTCTTGTATGTTATATTGTAACTCAATTTATATAAATATGAATTTTATTGCTTGTAATAGATTTTTAATTATTAAATGATGAATAGCTATTGAAAGATTCCCTTCTCATTATTCTTTCTCTTCCTTAATCGACATGACTCATCTCTGCTGACATGAACTTTCTCATGAGATTCTTATGAAATTTCAAGGAAACAAGCTATAAGATTTGTGCTATTGTACTGTGCCATTTCATCCATGTACAACACTACACTGGTGTTGTACTAACCAATCCCTACTAACTTTTTTTCATATTCCATCGTCCTTCTTTGTTCAATTCCCTTTCATCCAAGGGAGAAGTCAAACCAATTTAGAAGGAAAAAAGACAAAGAAGATCAAGAAAAATTTCATTATCAATGATCCATCATTAAATTGGCTCAAACATCAATCTTTTCTTGTCCTTCATTTGGTATTAGATTAGGCACCTTTTGCATCATTAAGCCATGGTTTTAATCAACTAGGTATGAGTAGCATTCCTTACTCAAACCTTCGTGATCAAAATAGGTATGGACTTTTCTCCTCCTACAAAGAGAATAGCTATTCTTTCCTACCATTTAAAATCCAATATTATAATCTTCAAAGACAACATCTAAGTCATCCATTTACTTAAAATATTTTAAGATCATTTGATAATCAATAGGATACCTCAAAATATTTTGAATTGGTGGTTTTGGTTGCATAAGAAGACACTCGTGGTTTTTAATAGGTAGAGTATTTCAAAGGATTTCAAATTAAATACATGGATTATGATCTTCAAGCTAAAGAGAATGTCATTTATTTTGATCTATAATATGAAAAATATTTGTAGACTAAAATTTCATCATTTTTCATAATAATTTAAAATTTCATGGAGCATGTTAAAAAGAAGAAGATAGGACTATAAAAGTTAAGTTTTACTCATATTTCACTTAGCGTAACTGTCCAATATAAGCTAAATATCATCTCAATAGTCAATATATTTAATCTTTAGCTATTTGAATGTCTCTACACATTGAAATCAACGTTACCACCTCATGTAGTTGGAGCAATCCATTGAGAAACCATTGATCCATTTGATTCATGATCAAATAATCTTATAAGTTCTCGCAATCATGCATGCCATAAAAGCCACATATAGTTATATATATATGTTTTTAAAGTTAATCTATAGTTTGATCAATTGGACAGAATGCTCAGTCCAGTGCCATTTTTTCCTCTTACTTGGGGGAATCCAAATACAAGATTAACTCTAATGAAATTGATCTCCACTTGTTAAACTCTTGTATGGCGAAGTTCGGGAGATCATATCATATCTCTCCTCATTTGAGGACATCTTGTGCTTCCGTCCTTACGAAAAATGACCCTTTTAATGCTTTTAGTTTATTTTATAGGAACCTCTGCTAAAGACAGAACTCGAAAATCCTGCTTTGCTGGCAGGAAATTGGACTCAACTATGTGCAACTTGCAAGGTAGAAAATTTTGTAAACTTTGTTTATTTTACCCAGTGAGTTGAAATTCCCTGAACTTTTGATTCAACTGATATTAACATCATTGGTCAGATCGTCAGGCCTCTTCGGGCGAAGCACTGTTCCACATGCGATAGATGTGTTGAACAGTTTGATCATCACTGCCCATGGGTATCAAATTGTATTGGCAAGGTGCTCTAATCTATTCTTTTATTATTTTCTTATTTTCTGTTGCGCTTTACTTTTCAATGCAATAATTTGATAATATTGTCAAGAACAAATTTATGTTTCTCTTATAAATCACTTCAAACTTAAGAACTTATCTCTGCAGAAAAATAAATGGGATTTTTTCATGTTTCTTCTTCTGGAGGTCTCGGCTATGGTTATTACTGGTTCTGTCACAATTATAAGTATGGTTTTTCCAGGATTTTCTCTTTTCTTTATGTTTCTTATTTTATATGCAATATTAAGCCGGATGCATCACAAAATCCAAACTATATGCAGGAATTGCAACAGATCCAACTGCCCCGTCATCTTTTGGTGCATGGCTAAGTCATTCTGCTATCCATCATCCAGGCGCATTGTCATTTATTGTAATGGTCTTCCTTCTTTTCTTTGGAGTGGCAGTATTAACTATCGTACAAGCACAACAGGTATGCAGAAGATATTGACTTTGCTCTCTTGCCTAGAAGTTATTTCCATCATTACGAATCATGGAAAACAATTAAAAAAAAAAAAAAAAAGAGTTAGCCACTCAAAATTCCCTTATCATCATCATCATCATCATCATCATCATCTTCATCTTCAACAACAAAAGCAGACTTATCTTTTTAAAAAAAAAACAGGCTTATTTCAATCTCAACTATTTAGGTCAACTTCAGGATTTTTTTTTCTCTCCATTTATTCTGGTTGATTTCCATATAGGAATATTTATTCTGTGCGGAATCTAGATCCCAATAAAAATGCGCCATATCTAGTACCGAGCGGTACCACGGCTCGGTACCGCTCGGTACCTAAGCGTAAACCGGACAGTTCTCCCGTCCGGTGTCCGCACTGAATGATCTCTCGATAGAGGCCTTAACTCATACTTTAATCTGCCAAATGATATACTTTGACCGAAGGGAAATAGAAGACCCTAAATCTTTCAGTTTGTTTACCTTATTTCACACAGATTTCCAGGAACATCACAACAAACGAAATGGCCAATGGTATGCGATATAGCTATCTCAGGGGACCAGGTGGCAAGTTTAGAAACCCATATGACCATGGTGTTCGCAAAAACTGCTCGGATTTCTTAATAAAGGGCTATAATGAGGACATAGAAGTGGCAGAACAGAATTTGCATTCTGAAGAGATGAGCATGATTCAGATGACAAATGTAGTCTCACAACAGAATGTTGAGAACCAAGCCAACCATGCAAATGGCAACGGCCATGTTTGCATTGATGTGGACTCCAGAGGTTCTACTAGGCCACATGGGCACGTCCATACATCAAAGTGTAGCCATGGTAAAAGTAGCACCAATGGCAGCAGCAGCAGCAGCAAAGGCAGCAGGGTTCCATTTGGACTGGGTCTCGGCCTCGGCCGGAACAATGCTCGTCACAGTTCTCGTGCAGTCCTCGCCACATAGCTTCATGGAAGCACTCGTAATGAATAATCATTTGTTGCAGTGATGATGACTGGCCTGAAACTCTGCAGTTTGCTTGTTCATATTTTCCATTTATTTCAAAGGAAGGTTTTGGTTCCATCCAGATTTTGGATAGGCGTTGAAAATTGTTGTGTTCGAAGAAGGATCGTAGAATTATATGTCAGACAGATCGTAGGTGAAGGGACTAGTTATTTGTTAGATGAATCAAATTGTATTTTATACCAAAATATGTGAATTATTGCTTGCTCTTTGAACTTTTTTTTGGATATATTTGAGAGCGAAGAACGCCAGCTAATACCATAGAAAATATTATTGATGGTTCTTCATGAAGTTAGCATTTGTATGTTGTGCTGCTAATTGTGTCCCCAGCCTATTTGGTTAAAATTTCAGGTTCTAGTACCAAATGTCTCCTTAGACAATCTATGTGTATGTTAATCTAAATCTAGAACTTGTTGGAATTTTGAAGTTTGTTTTTTATGGGTTAATTTTTGTACTAAAAAATTATTTTAAGAAGCATAAAAAAGCTGTCACAAACGAAACTTAAGATTTTGTTTTGTATACCTTTTTCATGACTTCTTAAAGCATCTTTTTAGTACAACAATATTAACTTTTGTACTAGAAAGTTACGTTAAGAAATCATACGAAATTTTTATTTAGTTATTTTGTCCTAATATGAGTAATTGAGCTACCATAATAACAATAATAATTTTTTTTCCCACTATGTGATGTGGGGTTTAGCTATATGTTTTTTTTATTGTCTTATTAAGAGTTAAATTCTTATTTAAATTTAATAAAAAATGATCATTTAAAAAAAAAGTTGCATCCACTAAAAGCACTTTTTATTGTTTAAAATTAGTCCCTCTATAGAAACTTAGAGGCAGCAAGCTTATATTAAACTTAAATCAAAGGTTTAGAGAGTTTTTTTTTTAAAGAAAACCAAGACTTTATTTAGGATAGTTTTTACCATTATTTTTTTTTGTTACTTTCAATAATTTTTTTTTTTTTTGCAAAAAAATTGTTTTAGAAATTAGTAAGAAAATTGTCCCAAAGATGTCGAGGTCCTATGATTGATTTTAAATTATTTATATATTTGGGTTGAAAGCTTAACCCCTAAAAGCATAATAGCGATTTGGGTAGTACATAAAGTGAAGAGCAATGGCAATTTTAAAGCCCACAAAATCAATCAATTATATAAGCATAAAAAAAAAAAAATGTCCATGGTGCATTGGATTTTATAATAGTAAAAAAATAAAAAAAATAAGTTTAGTTAGACCATGGTTTTTAAAACTTTGTAAAAAAATTTCATTCATAAATAAATGTTGATTTATGGGGTCTACAAATTAAGCTTCACTATGACACACTTAGAATTGTATCATTTTGGATCACCCTACTTGTCTAATAGTTTTCTTAAACTAAAAATAGATTAATAAAAGTAAAAAAATGCGCACACACAATCATCAAGAAAAACGTAGATTTTTGCTAAATTTTTATTTGGACTAACTTATCATTGTACTAAGTAAGCATATTGTGATGTCTATAGAATGACATAATAAAGTATTTGCAAAGAAATATATCTCTATTATAGTAAACATAATAAAATGTAGTTAACATGTTAGCCCATCATTACATTACTCAACCAAGAGATAAGAAAATTCAATCAAGTTTTACAAATGAAATGAATTACAACAGTTTTAAAATAACTAAATTAATATTTTATGATCAACCAATAATCATATAATATATGTTTTTATAATTTAGAATATATAATAAATTAAGTTCAATGAACCTTAATTTTAACTAAAATAAATCTATATAAATAAATTTGAAAAACATGCAATCAAGTTTCTCAATGGATGCAACGCATCTTGGTCTGTTGGTCGGGAGCTTTGACTACGAACTAAGAGGTCTTAGATTAGAGTCTTGCATATGTGATGTGTGTATGAGTTTGCTTTAATTGAGCTAAATTTTTCCAAAAAAAAAAAAAGTTTCTCAAAGGCTCAATGATGATGTAAATAAAAAATTTATTGCTAATATTCTAAATTTGAAGTATGTTTATACTAAATTTGTGTCCTAATACTCGCAAATTTTAATAACTAAATAGAAAAACTTAAAAATAATCATACTTTAATACAACTAATTTATAGCCCTCGAGGAAGTTTTTACTTAGAATTTGTCAGCTTTGACTTAAAAAAATGTATATTCCTAAAGTGATGGCTATGGGGCATTTAGAAAATTGTTTACTAAGTGCAAGTTAGTAAAATGATGGTGAGTCAATGATAATCTTTTTGAGACTTTGACACCTACCAAATAACAATTACTCTGGATGGATGATTTAGCAATCTTTTTTACCATTATTTTTATAAATTTCTTGATCATAAGTCATATAAGATCATAAAATAATGAGGATGCTGAGATAAGTCAAGTCATATGATTGGATAACTTAGATTTTGTTTGGGACAATTTTTAGCCATTATTTTTTTGCTACTTTGAAAAAAATTATGAGCTAGAAAGTTGCTATAAAAAGTAGTAAGAAAACTATCCCAAATGAAATCTTAGTGGGATAGACTTAAATCAATAAGCACTTGTGTTGTTGACGATGTTGTCATTCTAAATATGGAGAAATTATTAGGTGTAGAGTTCAAACGTGTTTTACGTCCAGACTCTAATAAAATATTGACATGTGGTTTTCTAATATTTATATTAATTTTCTAGCAACCTGACGACCCGACCTGGTCCATTTTTTATATTTTTAATAAAGAAATTTGTGAAAGTGCCCAAATATTTAGGATTTTGATGAGCATAATATCACTTTTGATACCTGCTGAGAAGAAAAGCGAGAAATAGGCGATAAGATGGAAACTAGTTTGGAGGATGCTACGCTCTCCAAGGAGATGAAAGCCTGTATGCAAAATGTCCAGGAAGACTTATTGCACACAACCATGGGAGATAAATTAGAGATACTATCGATAAATTTTAAACTCATCCTAAGTATCACCGTGTTTCTTGTAAATATAGAGTTTTTAGAGTTTAGGGTGCATTATTCAATTATTTATATATCAAATGTTGCGACGAAGCATTCTTATGTTCAACAACTATGTAAAATAACATTTATCACTTTTTTAAAAATTAATGTAAATATATAAATTTTTAGGATTTAGGGTGTATTCTTTAAGTTTTTTTATAATGTAATTAGTAAAATTATGTTAGAAATGTACTTATTTTTCCTAATACACACTATGTATTGTTGTTTATTGCTATGTACAATCTTAGATATAAGTTTATAACAATACACATTATTGTATTTGTTCATTTAAAAGCTTTTTGAATTTATACACAGATGTGTATTATGAAAATTATGTTGAAAATTTGTTATTTTTCATAATACACATTGTGTATTGCTATGTATTGTTATTTATTACATTATATTTTTGTGTATTTCTATATATTAATGTGTATTTGTATGTATATGTTTGTATTACTGCATATTATTATTTATTGTTATGTATAGCTATGTATTGATGTGTATTTTTTTGTATAAGCTAGTATCAAAGCTTATGCACAGAACAATTCATCCTCATCTTCGATTGAATTAGGAGTAGATATATTTTTCGTAGGTGACTTAATTAAATGTACTATTGGTAGTTCATCCTCATCAATGATGTTGACATCAGGAGGCATTACGGTGGCAGAGGATTCCTCGATGACATCGACAGTAGGAGGGTTTACAACAGAAGGAGCTTGAATGACGACATTAGAGGATGATGGACTAGATGAGGACAATTCTGTCGGATGTTACACTTTATCAGTTTTATATGTTGTAACATATATGTTCCAACATATTCTTTTTAATGATAATAACTTTAATCTCTAGCTGCCAATGTTCCAACACGTACTCCTAAACAACAACAATCCTCATTCCAAGTAGGTTACCCTTGAATCAAGCTTGTCTACCTCATTTAGCATAGAATTACACAGTGTGCACCATTCTATGATGGTGTGATGGAAGCTCTGCATGTTTGCATTAAGGATTTCTGTGCTGCTTGACGACTTCTTTGGTCTAGGTGGAGTGGGGACTTTCTGAGGAGAATAAAGGGGATTGCTGGGGGTTGAAGGAAGATGGAAGGTAGAGAAGGGACTTTTTGAGGAGAATGGTTGGGGTTTGAAGGGAGATTAATATGGAGAGGGGACTTTATGAGTAGGATGAGGGGGAGAAATATGCAGGAGGTCTGTGATGCCCGAAGATCTAACTTGAAAAGAATGTCAATCAATTTCTCATATATCATTTGTCTGATCGGCCCGGCCGATCGCCAAATCGTCCCGGGATGATCAGACCAGAAAAATCGTCCTGGACGGTTCCCAGAACTATTCTCAGGCCGATATTTTCTACAGTGCCGATCGGCCTGGACGATTTCAAATCGTCCTGGACAATCCTGAGAGAAAAAAAATCCAAATCAGAGAGGAACAGTAAGGGAACGAGGTCTCACAAGGTCTGTTTCCTCTTGAACAACGTCCTAGAGGGAATGAAAAATCTACACAATAGTGGTTAACACAATAAGCTCATAAATAAATCAAATTACCTATCACATTATGATGTGTAAGGAACCATGAGTACCTACCCATCCTCCATCTCATCAAATAATTCTGAGACCATATTTCGTTTTAAAATAAGTCAAAGGCTCAGTGAAGGAAACAATGTCTTGAGTTATTATCCCGAGGAGCTTCGATTGAAGTATGCTCCAGAAATCAAATCTGCAAATAATCAAATATAACATTAGACAATAAATTCTAAATGAGATAGAAATTAGAGAGATTTTTACATGTTGTTAGCACTCACAACTAGCAAAGGTAAAAATCCATTTCTATATCATAGTGATATGGATTTAGCAAACTTTTTGGCAATCCCATCAAACTAACCAACTAAGAAATCCCTAATGGTCGCTATTCACTTGTAAGATGAGAACTTATTCATATTCTGTGCAACACTAACTAGCCTCACTGGGGTTCTATAGCTATGAAATGAAAATAATAAATTGGACAACAAAAGTATGATAAATTTACTTATGATAAGGGCAGATGAAGTTAAATTTTGGAGTCTTGATATCTCATGTTTAATATCGCTTAAAGTATATGTTGATAATGTCTCACATTCCATGTTGAATTCAACACCTTTGTTTGACAATTCTATAATAAGAGTCACACAATATGTAATGAATGGTAGCTCATGCCCCTTGATGATGAAGCATTGCTTTGGCATATCCCATAATGATAGTAGCATATATATGCGGAGAACATTCTATTAGAATATAGGGATCTCCAAAAATTTATGTATGTATAATTCCTTTAATATGTCCTTGAAATCTTTGCCAAAAGTTTTAACGAAAGAGTTGCACATCACTCTAAATGTTGATGTTCTGTAATAAAAAAAATGATCTTTGGAACATACATCTATAAAATTGTATAAAGGGGTTAACAATATTTCCACCATAATTTCTCTCATAAATAATTGTGTAAAGGACTATATTGTAGTACTTAAAAATAGGTATAAAAAAACTACATTTCCCACATAATATCTCTAATACACATCTGTCAACAACCTAAAAAAGCTTTAAAATGAATAAATACAACAGTGCATTTTCTATAAGCTTGTATCACATCAATACATAATAATACATAACAGTACATTTTCCTATGCACATTTCAAGCTGTGTAAAAGCATGTTTTACAACAATACAAAATAATACATAACAGTACATAATAGATATTAGAAGAAAAAAACACTAAATTTCCCACATAATTTCCCAAATATACATTTGTGAACAATTACAAAAAACTTTTAAATTAACAAATACAACATTGTGTATTTGCTAGAAACTTGTATCACAAGAATACATAGCAATACACAACAATACATAGTAATACACAATAATACATAATTTATATTAAGTAAAAAAAAATCATATTTTATGTAAATTTTACATAGTTTATGTACAAAAGCATGTGAATATTTTAAACCCTAACAACTATTTTAGATAAACCATTTATAGAATAAATAGCTTCAGCATTTCAACATATCCAATGCTAAAGGATAGCTCTGGAGATAAATATGCCATTAACTTCAATGTCTGCACATAATAATTTATACTGGAAGAAGAGAGCAATCCTTGTTCAAAGATGAATAGCACCTAAACTTAGAGCTGAAAGAAAAGTAAAATGACTCCGAATGCCGGGACTTTTGGAATACCGCTATTTAAAAAAAAAAATTACGGATCGGGTTAAAGTTGTTCACCACTGATCCAGTGGACTAGTTTTGGTCATTGGGTCGCACGTGTCAGTATTTTATTAGAGCCTGGATATATAGCTACGTATGGATTCTGCAATTAATAATTTCTCCTAAATATGACAATGGTGATGGGGTCTCAGGCTAAATTCAACCTAGTTGAAGCAATTTAGTGTGTGGCCCCACTTTAATAGTGTATTATTTAGTATTTTGGATAGACAAAAATTTTGTTAGGATATTCTAATATAATTTTGGTTAAGATGGTTCTTGGTAACAGTAAATTCATTTTTAAATTAGTATTATATATGAAGAAATTATATTGCACTCATAAATCTAACAATTTTGAAATCTATATAACTAAAAATGGTATTAGAAGCAATTTTCTTTTTAGAATGCGTAAAAAATTTCACATAATTAAATTGAAGAAAACAGAGTAGAACCATTCTACATCCCTCTTAAATAATTCATAACCTAAATATTAGGGGGGAAATCCGCAAAAAGTGATGCATTAGCCTCTTTTTTAAATTAATTTTATACCTTTATTTGCCTTCAGCTTAGATTAAGCATTCATTTGGGATAACTTTATTATACTATTTTACTTTTCAAATTACAATCACATCTTTGTTTAGCTAAAACTCTCTCTCATAACTTTAAAGAAATTTCTATGCTAGAAACTTGCTTTTAATAACAATTTTTAAAAATGTTACTTTCATAAAACAATTTTAGAACCAATTTTTTATAAACAACAACAATATTTTCTAACCAGCTCTTTTTAGGTTTGCTTCTACCTTTCTTAACATAAGTCAAATCTAATACCTCTATTCTCCTAACCGGGTCATTGGAAGGCTGCCGTTTTATGTGACCAAACTATCTAAGGCGACTCTCTCTAATCTTATCTTCTAATGGAGCTACTCTAACCTTTTCACATATATTCTCATTTCGTATCCTATCTCTAAGAGAAAAGCCACTCATCCACCTGAGCATCCTCATCTCTGCCCCTCTTAACTTAATATTATGCTTCTCTTTTAATGGTCAACATTCAGCACCATAAAGCATTGCAAGCCTCATACCATCATATAAAATTTCCCCTTAAGTTTGAGGGTTACTTTTCTATCACACAACAAGCACGATGCATTCCTCCACTTCAACCATCCAACTTGAATTCTATTGATAATATCCCCATCTATTTCACCATTTCTCTGAACAATAGATCAAAGATATCTAAAACGTGTACTCTTATTAATAACTTGATCACCCAAAGTCACAATCCCCTCACTAAATTAAACTTACTGCTCTAAACTAATTTTTTAAGTGGGGTGAAACCATTTGGTTAATGAAAAGATAAACTTCTACATGCCACGATAAATTTTGAAAAAAAATTTTTTTGATGTATTTGTCTCAACTTTTTTGCTTAATCTATTGTGATGTTATAATTCATAATTAAAATTAAACTATTATAATTAATTATTTTATGACTAATATCACAACTTAATGGTAACATGACCTTAATTATCTTAAACAAACTAATTAGTTAAATTGAATAATTAATTAACTCTATTTTTTTTTATTAATTACATTCAAATTATTATAGATTTATCAAAGCTAATACATATATAATATTAATGAATTCTATTAAAAAATCTTGTTTACTTTTAAAATAGTTTTTGGCTATGTCGTAAAGGCAAGACATAGATTGTCCAGACTTGAGAAAATGTCTTTTGACTTTTTAAAGGACATTGAACATGAATCCAAACGACCCCCCAAAGCTCTTTCACTGAAGCAAGCCTTTTCCAATTTCCAATCCTCTCGTTTTCAAATAACTTTCCCATAAATCTCTCCTTTATCTTGATGCACTCATCTTAGACATTCACGAGAAATTATTCTGCGCGGTTACCGGACCGTCTGAAGGCGAATCAGAATACGTCACATTACCCGGTACACAAAACCGGTATACAACAAAAAAGTGATATGGCACTTCCTGATTTGTCTTCGGATAACGTCCGGTGACCGCACATAATAATTTCTCGACATTCACACATTGTGAGAGTCTGGTAACCAATTTTAGAAAAACAATATTATTTATCTTTTCACACAAGGAAAAAAAAATCAGGAATAATGATAAAAAAGGGTGGTAGCAGGTGAACCTTATAAACAAGTTTCTTATAAATTTATGAGGAAAAATTGTCTAAGAGATATGATGCAATCAAGTTGATAGACACAAAAGGATGATGGGAGTGAACAGGACACATCCTTTCACCTGATTCCACCATCCAGCTTAGCTGCAGCAGCAGCATAGCTGATGGGCATATATGACCATGGCAGATCCTTTTACCTGCTTCCACCACCGTCCAGCTTTGCCGCAGCAGATGCATAACTGACGCTGCTATCTTTCATGCTCTTACACTTGCTTGATTGCTCGTATCGAATAAAGCCAATGCTAATTTTCTCAGAGCAGCTCCTCAGCATCTGAAGAGCCCAGAAAATAAGAGGGTGAGAAACAGAGCCAAGTAATTTTCAGACAGGTAGAAAGCTACAAGGAGAGGGGATTTATTATTCCGTGCGGAGTCCGGAGGGCGTCTGGAGACCAATAAAAATGCATCACGTTACCCCATTGCTGGGTACCCAGCGCTTAACTGGACGGTTCTCCCATCCAGCGTCCGTACAGAAAAATAACTCCAAGAGGGATGGATGATTACATGGAGGAACACACTGATCGGGTGTCGGCCGCAGATGGTGTTGCCAAAATCCTGGAGGTATTCTTTGAAGGCATCAGGATCTCCGGTCTCTATGATGTCCATGCCCATGCGATCAAGTGCTTCAATTGACTTGTGTATGGGGCCGTGTTTCTTGTCATAGTGTGTGTAGTGAAACCTTAATATACAGGAAGAAAAAAAAATCAAGAAAAAACTCAAGCAATGAAGCATTTTATTGCCCGAAGATAGAAAGCACGGTTTAAAAATCAATGAGATTTGTTAAATTCGATCATTTAGCTGAATACGGCTAGAAATCAACAATTATATTAAAATATAATGGTTTCCCTTTCACTACAAATGAGTGAATTTTTTTTTATAAAATATGTTTTATATAAACATGGGGGCAAGGCATGCGCAAGGCTCCCGCCTACTGCAGAGATAGGGGAGGAGTATGCAGCTTTACAAAGGATTGTCTCTCTAATTAAGGTTTTGTTTGGGACAACATTTCTACGGCTTTTTAAAGCAGCTTTTTAGTTAAAAAAATAAAATATTTATATTAAAAAGCTGTTTTAAGAAGCAGTAAGAAAGCCATCCCTATCGAAGCCTAAAACTCACTCTAAACATTGATGCCACACCTTCCTCGACGAGAGGAAGGGCTATATAATGTTCAGCAGATGTGAAAAGGAAAATATAGAAATGATCAGATCTTTTCCATACTAAAAAAATGAAATATGAGGGCTAGAAATAGGTATCTTATTATAAATAAAAGGTAAAAAGGTTAAATAGTTGAGAGGATAAACAAGAATTCAATCAACTAAAGACAATGTAGCCTTGCCTAACCATCTTTAATTTCTAATCAAATGAAATTAAAGAGAACTGAGAGTTCGAATAACCTGTTGTTAGAACTAATCATAGTGTAAATTCAAGTCAAATTCGACAGTTCTCAGAGGTCCGCTTACCGAGATCCCCAGTGGCAGAAGTCGGATGACACAGAGAAGAAGTTCTGAGGATCATCCACATACTTTGCAAGCAACCGTCCATACATGGCTTCATTTTGGGAATTCAGGGATCCTACCAAAATTGGTACGATTTTTACTTGATGGCTGCAGCAAATTAGCAAGAGACTTGAATATGAGATGAGCCACGATTCAGCCAGTAGGAAATCGAGATCAAGTTCATTACATTACCCATGAAACACTTTTGCAATATAAGGCAAATGCATCTCCATGCTGTGCTCTGCCTCATCCACTTGTAGATCCATGAGTTCAAATTTCCCAGTCGCCTTTAGCTCCTCAATTACTGCAACAAGAGTGAAGAATGAGCATGACAGTAAATTTAAGATTCAGTAACAGGTCATCAAGAAGGTACTCATTACATCATAAAAACACCAAGACCAGTCAGGCATACAAAGAACAGCTATTTAGAATCCATAAATAAATAATGTTCACCTTCCAGATCAACTGGTAGGTCTCCCAACGGTGTCCTGTAAATTGTAGCTCTTGTAAGAGCACATTTAGGAGTGTAGTGATGGTGAGAAGGACCAAGAAGAAAAACACGTGAACTGCAATGATAAATCATTCTCATATTAGATGGATGATACCAAAAAAAAAAAAAGAGGAAAAATGCTGCAAATGACTATTACATATCAGTAATTTAAAATACAGTAAATGCAGCCACCATGAAACTTCATTTTTCTAGCAAAATTTTCTATAAGGCATCATAACAACATCTTTCTTTTCAGGTATAATATTCAAAGAGAACATTCCTAAAATAATCCTCATACTACCTAATAAGTAGCCAATTTAGTCCTAGAATATCACATTGCTCCAATTTCGTCTAACAACTACTTAAAATTGATCACATTTAGTCCTCCGTTAAATAAACAACTTAATTTGATGGAAATTATCCATTACTTAATCTGCCAAATAAATTTAGAAGGGAAACTACAACAAGCCTTTATCCCACTGCATAGATAAGCTACATAAATCCTTTTTCTTATTGCGTCCTATTACAAGTCAAATCCTCATTTTCTCTTATAAGAAAATATCATTTTAAATATTTCTTAACAAAATCTTTTTAAGTCTAAATATACCTTTTTTAACATTGGCCGGATAAAAAAAAAATCTATTCTCCTAACAAGGTCATTGGAAGACCGACACTTTATGTGACAAAACCATCTAAAGGTGACTCAAATCTTATCTATCACTAGGGCCACTCCAACCTTTTATGTATATACTCATTTCGCATTCCATCTCTAAGTATAAAGTCACTCATCCACCTATGCATCATCATCTCTGCAATACTTAATTTTATGCTTCTCTTTTAATGTGGAGCATTCATCGCTATAAAGCATTGCAAGTCTCACCACCATCTTATAAAATTATCCTTAAATTTGTACTTTTCTATCACACAACAGACTCTATGCATTCCACCACTTCAACCATTCAACTTGAATTCAACAAATAATATCCCCACTATTTCACTATCGCTTTGAATAATATATCCAAGATATCTAAAACACGCATTCTTTTTAATAACTTAATCACCCAATGTCCTGATCCTACCACAAGATTTATTATTAATAGTAATAAACTCCATGTATTTGATTTTAGATCTACTTAAACGAAAACCATTAGACTCTAAAGTTGACCTTCATAATTCAAATTTTTCATCAACCCTCTTTCTAGTTTTATCAAAAAGAAAAATATCATCATCAAAAAATATACACCTAGGTACATCCTATTGCAAATGTCTAGTAAGAATATTCATGACTAAAACAAAATGATATGGGCTTAAAGCTGATCCTTGATGTAATCCAACTAAAATAGGAGAATATTTGGTCAAAATATCTTGTGTTTGAACACAAACAACAACTACATGCATATCCTTAATGACTAAAATATAAACATTAACTTCTTTAGTTTCTAGAACTCTCCAGAACATTTCTTTTAGAACTTTATCATATGCTTTCCTTAAATCAATAAATATCATATATAGATGCCTCCTTATTCTATTCATATATGATTATAACCAACCACTTCACTGATTGCTAATAGAGGAAGCGATAACCATGATGATTCAACTAGGTCCATCACTAGTATGAGGCCTCTGAATAATTATTCTTTTGTTTGATCAGCGAAGGTCATGTCATTCGAACCTATTTTCTGTAGCCATGCTCTATTTTCGAGCAATAAAAGAAGATCACTGAAGTGATTGACCATCAATATGGAGGTCTTAGAAAGGTAAGTTTGCTCATTCAAATTTTTTTTTTTAGATTATGTTGTAGGGTGTCTTGTTTGCTATTATAAAGTAAAATATTTGTATACATTGATTTTATAGCATAGCATATGTAAATAGTAATAAGACGAGAGAAAGAAAATGTAATGTACAAATGACTATATGATACAAATTCCTCATAGCTTGTTAGTAGTTTGATTGAAATGATTGTAGCTTAAAAGGGAGATATTGATGTTTTAAGATGTAGTGGAAGATGAGAGAAATAGTTTTTATAATGATAATAAGGATGAGGACTACAAGTACAATGTTTGAGATAATTATGAGACATTTGTAGATAATGATAATAAGATTCATGAGGATGATGAGATGTTTGAAAGGAATACGGATCCTTATGCTAACTTTATAGGTACTACAAATAAGGAAAATAAGAATATTGGTGTACACAATGAAAACTCGAATGACATGTTGAAGAACAAATATTGTGAAATTGGTAGCATGAATTCCAGCGATGAAGATAGTATTCATGATAGTGACAAATATGACAATACAAAGTGGTGAATTTTCAATCTAAGAATGGAGTTTAGGAGTTAAAATATTGAAATAGGAATGTTATTCAACAAGTAAGAAAGAATTTCCCGAAGTGGGCAAAACTAACCAATTATAAGGGGGAAAATAATTAAGTTCTTAAAAATTGATAAAAGGTAAAATGTTTGTTAACAAAACGTACAAAACTAACCAAAGCGGCCAATTATTAATTTATTTACCAATAACCCATTACCCATGATCTCATAACCACCCCTAGTAGCATAACTCCCTTAGACGACAGTAGACAAAAATCGAATGCCCCTCTATTGTTTTCTTCTTACTGCACGCAAGGAACTACCACAGGAAGATAATCTCGCTCGCTCTCATCTCTTTCAATCGCATGCAAGAATTACCAATCGAAGTCATTCGAACGTAGGAACCCCAGACGAACACCACATACACATGGACCCCTCGCTCACTCCCTCTTGACCTCACTATTCTTTCGACTGCACGAGCTCTCTCTCGATTTCTCTAAACTGAAACCCCATGCCAAAGCCCCTCTCCCTCATCTTTATACTAGGCCGCTCAACCTTACCCAAGCTAGCACCCGTCGGCCTCACCTGCACGCAACCACCGACCCGACTCCTTGCATGCGATTGACCCAGCCAGACGTGACAGCGGTTTCTCCCTAGCCTCCCATGACCCGATCCTAGCCACAACTCGACTGACCGCACAGCACGAGCAGATTGACCTCGCCGCTAACCTACTCAACTTCCTGCACCCACCCGCCCTAATCGATCTTTCTCTCCCGTCTGACTTGATGCATTCAAGTAACCATCAGCTGCTCAACTCATCGTTGTCACCACACTTCCTACACTAAAATGTATAAATTACTTTATTGTGTGCTTAAACAATAGGTAAAGAAGAACCTGCATCCTTTGTATCTTTGATCCGGTCAAGAGAAATAAATTATATAAAGACCTCACACCACTATATCTTTGATCAGGCCGCGAAGAATCAAAAGCAAATGCCTACTCGAAACCCCTACACATGGTGGGATGCTGAGAGGCTGCCAAAATTTTGAACAATCAAAGAACCCCCACATAATTAATTTAAAACAAAATAATAATAAATAAATAAGAATGATAAAATCATATGAATTTAATTTAGTATTTAACCAAATGAAAATGTTTATCATTCAAAATGACAGCTCACTATCTATGATTTGGAATATTTAAATTGAGTGAAATAGATTAAGAATCATTATAAGTTGGAGAAGATTATTTGTAGGATTTAGTACATTTAAAGATATCTTAGTGTTGTAGTCAACATAATTTACAAGAAACAACATTTCATGTTTCTAAAGTTTAGATACTTCATTAGACAAAAGAATTGGTTTAATCTTTAATAATATCTCAAACTCAACTCAGATGAAATAATGGAGTTAAGTAGTGGTGTCAAGGCCAGGTTAATCATTGGTAATATGCTATGCTAAAAAGGATTCTAAATTTGGTGAGGAAAAATAAATGTTGAACTTGTGTAATTGATTGCATTGTATTGAAGTCAAAAATACCTTTGAGAGCATATTTAAGAATATCATTGACAAAGTCGATTTCGTGTTCGAAATTCTCAAACCGAACAACTCTTTAAGTTAACAGACATTTGAACAAGCTATAAGACGAAAACTCTACTTGTACAATACAATTTGCTTTTGGGAGACAATCTTCCTCTTGAACTTGAAAGGGCCTTGAAGATTGATTAGCAGGTAACCATTCGGACAAGACGGAAGCAAACAATAACATTTTCAAAATTCACTGATTTCCTTTTTTATCCAGCCAGACTTCTGTCCATTTTTATATACTAATCTCATCTCCTAGATTTGATATAGCTCTGAGGAAAAGCAAGACTATAATAGAAAAGGTATCTCTTTTAAAACCTATACCTATAATATCATTTGATCAGTAAAACAAGGAATCCAATTTGTCACTCAAGAACAATGGAGAAAGGGGTAATATTCCCATTGCCAGGGACACAAACGACATAATGGTAATCAATGATCAAGCAAGAACCTCCAAATTAAATAGAGTATGATTTGAAAAGCACTGAAAGATCTATGAATGCCTAAATTTGGATTAGACTTGATCTATAAAGCAAGGAGATTTATGTATATTTCCTTAAAATGAAAATTACATGATAAGGCTTCATAAATAAAAATTCTTTAAAGACCCATCACAAAACATCACTAATAAAGCTTCCAATGTTTTCAAGCATGGTAGAGCCCCAAACATAAAAAAATTGAATCTTCAAGCTGTTAGCATTGAGTTGGATAAAATTGGAGCTATCAAGTGGATGGTTAACCATACCATATAGGACATTCATAGATTCTTTATAATTGCCAAAAGTTTTACAAAATAAAATGTTGAAACTACTTGATTAGTTCGTCACATGTCTAACAAAATACAACCAATCTAAACAACATTATTTGTCTCTCAAAAGGGCTATTTATTCTACACAAATAATCTTCAATGTCTTGATCATCCTATGCACTATCTATTCAACTTTCTTAATCAGGGCCTAATCAAGTCAACAAGAAATCCCAAGTATTGAAAATTTTGGGTTGTTAAAGAGTTTTACTTTGTCCATCATTGATGACTTCTCATACATATCTAATAGAACTTTCACCACTTTTTTTGTTCCACATGTGCTCTGATCTATATATGAAGCTCCTAAACATGAGATCTGAGAATGCTTCGCATATTTGCTAAAAGTATTCAAACACTTTAACGATAATCGTGTTGA